GGGCGGGGGTTCGTTTTGCTCCTCTGGTAGTTCCTTGATTTGCATCTGTTTACTGCTTGATTGTGTGCCTGGTGGTGACCTTTGCTTATCTGGGTGATGATTGCTGGTGAGGTGATTTTGTCTCTTCTAAATAGTATGTAGATGCTGTTTATCTCTCTGTGTTTGTTAATTGCTGCCTTGTCTGAATACCAGGCTTCCAAGAATTCTCTTGCATATTTGGATTTAGCTTGGTCTAAATAGAGAGCAAACCCCATCCCATTTTAGCAAGGAAGATGTTACGTAGCTGGGTAATGAAACGTTTGCAAGAAAAGAACCAAGCTCAGAGAACCCCAAGGACTCCACAATTATGAAAGCCTTAGGAAAAAATATTCAGCTTCCCTGATGTGCCTATACCTGCAAAGATCAGAATTGTGTGGACAATGATTGTCCCTGCAACACTCTAGAGAAGCGAAAGTTTGTTTATTTATCATATTTATATAGCTGCCCATCTCACACAAGGTAACTCTGGGTGGTGTACAACAATTAAAAAATAAATACATAAAAACAATTATACATAAAAAACTGTAAAAACACAAAACAGGAGAGGATAAAATTAATAAGGGAGCCATCGTAAAATCTCCCTGGTCCCCTAGGAGCCCCAGGCCTGATCACATAACCAGGTCTTGAGGGACTTACGGAATGTTAAGAGGGATGGAGCAAATCTCACTTCCTGGGCAGAAGATTCCACAAGGCGGGAGCTGCAGCAGAGAAGACCCCCCTCCTGGGAACCACCAAATGGAATTTTCTAGCAGATGGGATCCACAGCATGCCTTCTCTGCCAGATCTGATGGGATGGGCAGATGTAATTGGGGAGAGGCAGTCCCTCAGATAACTGGGCCCATACCATGAAGAGCTTTAAAGCTCAATACCAGCACCTTGAATTGGACCCGGAAGCAAACTGGCAACCAGTGCAGTTTGCGAAGCAGAGGTGTAACGTGTACCGCCCTAGAGGCACACACAACTGCCTGTGCCGCTGTGTTTTGCACCAGCTGAAGCTTCCAGATACTTTTCAAGGGCAGCCCCATGTAGAGCGCATTACAGAAATCCAAACGGGAGGTGAACAGGGCATGACTGACAGTGATTAGGTCCCTCTGATCTAGGAATGGGTCCAATTGGTGCACAACACGAAGCTGTGCAAAGGCCCTCCTAGCCACGACTGCCACCTGCTCTTCAAGCAGGAGTTGTGAGTCCAGGAGGACCCCCAGATTGTGCACAGGGTCTGTCTGGGGCGGTGCAACCCCATTTAGCACCAAAGATGGCATATCGGTAGCACCAGAAGGCCCCAGAACCCACAACCACTCAGTCTTGCCAGGGTTCAGTTGAAGCCTGTTTTTCCCCATCCAGACCCTCCCAGCCTCCAGGCATTGGGATAAAACACTCATAGCATTGCTTAATTCGCCAGAGGCAGAAATGTATAATTTGGTATCATCAGCATACTGATGATACCTCACCCCATGGCGATGGATGAGCTCACCCAGCAGCCTAGTGTAGATGTTAAATAGTAGGTGGGAGAGCACTGAACCCTGTGGCACCCCACATAACAGGGGCTGAGGGCGGGATCTCTCCTCCCCAACCACCACCAACTGGAATCAGCCCTGGAGGAAGGAGATGAACCAGCACAACACAGTGCTGCCCACCCCCAATCCTCTGAGCCAATCCAGAAAGATACCATAGTCGATGGTATTGAAAACCGCTGAGAGGTCAAGTAGGGCAAGGATGGATGCACAACCCCCAACCTGCCCTCACCAGAGATCATCCCAAAGCATGACCAATGCTGTTTCCCTCCCATACCAGGCCTGAATCCCGACTGAAAGGGATCCAGATAATCTGCTTCATCCAAGGTCCTCTGAAGCTGTTGTGCAACCATCTTCTCAATCACCTTCCCCAAAAAGGGGAGGTTAGATACTGGATGACAATTGTCCAGTATGGCGGGGTCTAGCGATGGCCTCTTGAGGAGGGGGCGAACCAAGGCCTCTTTAATTGGTGAGGGAACAACCCCCTCACTCAAAGATGCATTAACCATCACTAGAACCCACTTGCACGATACCCCCCAGGCTGCTTTCACAAGCCATGCCAGGAGGGGCATGGATCTAAAGAGCAGGTGGTTGAGCTCACAGTCCCAAGGACCCTGTCCACGTCCTCAGGTTCAACAGGTTCAAACCGTTCCCAGATAACAGGGCAAGACTCCCTCCCTAGGCACCTCCACTGGACCTGCAGTAAAGCCAGCGTCCAACTGAGAACGAATCTGAGCAATTTTATCCAACAGATGCCAAGAAAATTATTCCACACGTCCCTGCAAAAGGTTCTCTGAGCCATCCTTACCCAGGAGGGCTCGTGTCACCTGAAACAGGGCTGCGGGGCGGCTATCTGTGGATGCAATAAGAGCGGAGGAGTAATGACGCTTCGCCGCCCTTATCGCCACTAAGTAGGCATGAATAGCCACTCTAACCCGTGTTCAGTTGAGTTCATCCCTTGTTGAGACCAGCGACGCTCTAGACGTCTCTTCTCTTGCTTCCTCTCCCTTAGCTCTTCTGTAAACCACGGAGAGTGCTGGGATCCTCAAGGGGAGAGAGGTCACATGGGCGCAATCCAAAGCCTCAGCTGCCCCTTTATTCCAAGTGGCTACCAAGTCTTCAGATAGACTGTGCAGCAGACCAACAGGAGCAACCCCCTGCTTCCTCTGGAACCCATCTGGGTCCATTAGTCGCTGGGGGCAGACTGATCTAATAGGTCCAGCCTCCCTGTAGTGGATAGTGGTGCTAGGGAATCCCATTGTAATCAGGGTGTAATCTGACCATGACAAGGGG